AAAATGTGCGTATCTCGGAAGAACCTAAACTTTGCTTACTTCTGTAGTTTAGGAATAGAGAGAGGACTAAGCAGTGAAATTCAGATCATATTTGAGTCTGAATTTACCTGAAGTTTAGAGGGGCTGGGGGATTTTCCTGTTTATGTTTCTTTAGCATCCTTTTTATCACTTGGGGCTATAGCAGCACTGGGCCAAGGTGCTGATGAGTGCACACTTTGTGTTGGTTTGGGTGCTATACACTGCTACTGCAGTCCAACAGAGAGAGGTGGGGCTGCTTTTGTGATACCACTAATATCTTAAAGAGAAGAAGGATGATCTGGTGGTTAGGGCACTGCCCAGGGTACCTGGGTTTAGGTTCATGCCCTGCCAGAAACATCCTGCATGACCGTGGGCAATTCACTTAGCCTCTCTGTGCCTCAGTTCCCCAGCTATAAAATGGGCCTAGCCTTGAGGTGGCTGGCAGTCTAAGTACCAAAGCCAAGAAATTGACAAAAGTCAGCCTTACCCAACCTTGACATTGGAAATAGGAGATGATGACTAATGCCCTAGGGGAGATCTCTATTTCAATACTCACTCACCTCTTGCCAGCAACTATTCAGTTATACAAACTAGTCAGTCTCCTCAGTTTGGTCTCTGCTGTTTCTCTGCAATTTGAAGTGGTTTCTACTGAAATCTTTGGCAGTTAGCAAGCTACAGGGAGAAGTGTTTTCCCAGTAAAGATTCTGTAAGAGGATGAGAGAAGAGATACAGACAGGACTCCTACACAAATCTAGTAACAGGATTGGGACCATAAGAGCCATGGTTTGAATGAGAATCTGAATATCTCCAGCGTTTGCAGCACTCATAAATCTGAGAGTTTCAGTTCAGGGCAGGCCTATGTCTAGAATCAACCTGGATGATCACCCTGTTATCTCCCTGGCCATCTGTGTGTTAGGCTGAATGTCAACTGATTCAGTATATATTTATTTACATGCTTGATATGAAAATGCTGGTTATCAAACAAGCCCACACACACTGAATTGTACCATAACAACAGTGTCTGGAAACCAAAAACTAGGCGCTGTCTTTAGAAACAGCCATGTCTCCTCTGTAGCTTGTTTTTTGCCATAAGTGCCAATCAAAACTCAATGATTCCCTGCCCCCACCTCTCAACTGGGGGGATATTGAGCGTCACATGGACAGGTATACTTAAAGGTAACCTGCAAAGAGCATTATTATTTTTTAAATGGGGGAGGGAGGTGCACCCTTTTTTGCTCCTTTGTGATGGATAAATGATTTTTTTTAAGGGAAAACTTGCCGGGGAATTTCTGCTTGTGTTTTACCTTAGAAATGGCAGGAATGTTAAATCTGGTGACCTGTTTTCTTTCACAGTGCAGCTTTTCTTGTGAACTCTCACCGCTTCGTTGAAAGGCTAGAACTAATACATTTTGCCTTTGTTAAAGATTTATTTGGCAAATGGAGGAGAGCAGACTGGCCCAGTATACATCATAATAGATCTGGCTGGCAAAAATGCTCCAGACACCTAAACAAAACAAATTATGATCACAGATTTAGCTCTCTTTTTTGTCTGTATTCTCACAGAGGTCCTGAACTTGTACAGCACAGCTCTGAGCAAAAGATTTTCTACAAATAATTTATAAATGTGCTCATTCATAGATCCAAAATCTGCCCTCCAGCCTCCCAAATCCCTGAGGATTTGAAGTGCCAGACTTCAACTCCTGCTGCTGACCTTTGTGTGTTGTTATAGTTTAATGTGAGCGAATTTTTTTTTTTCAGTTCTCACTGTGTGAATTCAATAAACCTGTGTTTGATTTTTTAAAACATCCTTTAAAACAAGGTTTATATATTTTTTTAAATTATAATCAGTCTGTGAGGGTGCAACACACAACAAAATACAGGTGTCGCACATTCTGATTGCTGGTGTCACACACCAGCAGCTTGAAAGGTAGGGAGGTACGCTCAGTATTGAAGTGGGAGAGATATAGACTATGTAGTGCATAATACAAATATATCCTCAGCCGAGCCTTTGGACTATGGATTTGAAAAATAGATGACCCAACAGTGAACCATATAAGTATCTACATGGGGCACACATATTTAGTATTCTATCTTGCAGAGAAAGGTATAATACAATCCAATGGCTGGAAGTTGAAGCTAGACAAATTCAGAGTGGAAATAGGGTGTACATTTTTAATGGTGAGAGTAATTAACCATTAGAACAATGTATCAAGGGTCGTGGATTCTCCATCACTGACCATTTTTAAATCAAGATTGGCTGTTTTTTTCTAAAAGATGTGCTCTGGGAATTATTTTACGGAAGGCCTATGGCTTGTGCTATGCAGGAGGGTAGACTAGATGATCACAGTAGTCCCTTCTGGCCTAGAATCTATGATTCTATGCTTTTCTAACCTGCTTCATTTTTTCTCTTATATGTGTGGGGAGAATTTTACATTTACAGATTACATATTCCACACACTTCTGATCCACTGCATAAGATCTCCTGTGTGCTACAAAATCTGATTATGCCCATTCTGAGTCTTTGTGTTGCCATAGCAACCCAGGAGCAAGATGGGCACTAGCACTACAGGGTGTGCTATTCAGAACCGTACTGTCCCTGTCACTGACTCTCAGGGGCTTGAGACAAAAAGGGCTGAGGATTTTTATAGGCTGCAATATAGTCAAACCTAAAGCAACCCTGATGTAAATCATGCTAATGAAGTTTCATAGCAGAAACTTAATAAATTGTCATGAGAGCAGGCACTGACAAGCATGGGAGCGATCGCTATGAGTGCAGGGGGAAATGTGCTTCTGTCTCACTCCTGCAGCAAAGGGATATACATAAAGCACACGATATTCTTCAGTGTGTCCAGAGCAACCAGACCAGAAGGGCTGTAGTGATCCAGCCAGCGGCCTGCCTGGGTGAAGGCTGCCAGCTGAGCAGTGGTATGCAGGATGCAACACCAGCAATCGCTCAACAGGGTTTTAAAACATCAAATCCAATAGACAGGATGTGCGGAGGCTGGTGACATCACCAGCAGTGACATCACCAGAGGGGGTGGAGTCTCCGGGCAGTTGGGTCAAGAAGACAGTTGGAGAGCAGCCCTTATAGATTCATAACTCTCAAGGCCAGTAGAGGCCATTGTGCCCCTGAGCTCCTGTATAGCACAGGTTTTAGAGCTTCCCCCAAACACAGTGCCTAGGGCAGCTCTTCTACAGAAACACCAATGCTGATTTAAAGATCGTCAGTGAGGGTACTGCACCTCCCTCAAGAGGGGGGGGACCTGGGAACATGACAGGGCCTCAAAGGGCACAGGGAGCCAGAGGGTCAGATAAAAGTCTGGCTAGACTTGCCTGGAAAGGGGAGCTAACTTAAGATGGGATAGTAGAGCTCTGAGGAGAGCTCAACTTGGTGTCCTGAGCCCCAGATGCTCCCCACAGAGGTGGAGAGCTTTGGAAGAGAGAGATTCCTCAGAGAAAGCGAGGGACTTCCAAGGCCATCCTAGTACCCCAGTAGCAAGGGTTGGTGCTGAGAGGTCACATCAGACATGAATATTTGTAAATAACGAAGAAGCTCAACTAGTCTTAAAACAGATAGGGTAATATGAGCGGTTTCTGTGAATAAAAGTATTTCTTTCATGCTTCCAGTTCCAGTCCTAGCGTAATAAACACGATCTGTTATTTTCTCTAAGACTAATCCTGGTCTGTGCTGCTATGTTATTTAGACCCCTGACTACAACTTCCCAAAGTGACACTACATAATAATTACCACATGCAAGAGTCTATCTCTGGGTTTTCCAGTTCCTGGGGACAAAAGCCTAAAACCTTTTAACTCCAAGCCTAAAAGAGACAAGGCATGAATACTGGATGGTGGCGGAAATGGTACCAGATAGAGTCACCTAATATTTATATGCATATGTGTCAGCTGTTCATCAAGAGGGATCATATACTGGACCTATATATACTTGCGTGATGTTGTGTTTTAATATTTTGGGGTCAATGGTGTGACAACATTGTCAGGGGAGGAGATTTCCTGTCAGGAAACAATTTCACCACAGAACGCTGGTGGACTATCACTGCCAGGAACAGGCTTATATCAGGAGGGGAAGTTCTGACAGAAAGGAGAGAGTGAAAGCAAAATGTTCTGGCTGGAAGAGTTAGCAAACACCCAGTCTGAGGTGATGCTAACAGAGAAACTTGGTGGATGGTCAAGTGAATTTCCTGAGGCAGCTGTCAGGCCTGAAGGGGTCAGGGACTTTCAAGATGACAGTTGGAAGATCTGGTTAACTGACTTGGCCAGTGACGGTTGGGAATGTGAATATAACCATTGAAAGGACCGTTTACTTGATTTACCAGTGATAGGGACAGTTGGAATGTGTGAAAATTCAAAAAGCAGGGCAGCGAGTGAGTCAAGGTTTCCTATGCAACTGAGAGCAGTGGATGTCTAGGCACACGAGACTCTTGTTATCTCATGCTGGATCCTTGAAGTCCTCCTAGGCCTAGATGAGAACACCCTGGACACCCCTCCCAGGATCTTGCAGTCCCTAGAAATGCCCTCACCTACCACTTTGTTCTGGGCCTACCTCACTCCTGGATCACCTGCACCTTTGCAGGTTCCAGGCTTAGCTTTCTGCTCCCCACTCTAAGTCCCAAATAAGACACCGCAGCCCTTCCAATTTGGCACTTGCTGGCTTCGATTGAGAGTCCCGCCACCCCTAACCTCTGTAATACTTGTTTGATTATGGGTTTCAGAGTAACAGCCGTGTTAGTCTGTAGTCGCAAAAAGAAAAGGAGTACTTGTGGCACCTTAGAGACTAACCAATTTATTTGAGCATGAGCTTTCGTGAGCTACAGCTCACTTCATCGGATGCATACCGTGGAAACTGCAGCAGACATTATATACACACAGAGATCATGAAACAATACCTCCTCCCACCCCACTGTCCTGCTGGTAATAGCTTATCTAAAGTGATCATCAAGTTGGGCCATTTCCAGCACAAATCCAGGTTTTCTCACTCTCTGCCCCCCCCCCCCCACACACACACACACAAACTCACTCTCCTGCTGGTAATAGCCCATCCAAAGTGACAAAGTTGCTCACTGGAGGGGCAGCAGGCGATCACAAACCCACAAGAGGATATGACACAAAGATAATCTATCAGCTCCCATTAGGTGTTTGTTTTCATGTTGGATGGTGAACCCTAGATAGACCATAGAAAGAAAGGGTGGTATTCTTAAGGGAAAACTACTGCCCCCACCTCCACACACAAAGGACTTTCTGAAGATGACCCCACTCCCAGGTAAACAAAGCAGCTCAGATGAGGCCAGTATTGGTGGAATTAGTGAGGGCTTGGTTCTATGAGGAGAGGACATTTCTCCACTGCTCTAGAGAGATTCCCTTAAGAAAATGGTGGGGGTGGGGGAAAAGCATGCATATCATTCTGCCATCATATGGCAGGAAATTAGGAGTCTGGAAGATGAAGGGTTGGTTTGTCCTGGAACAAGTAGAGTTGAAAAGCAGAAAAGGGTATCAGTGAAGTACAAAAGACATGATCTCTACCTATGGTTATTGTTGAAACGTGTTGCAGGAAACAACATTGTCCAGGTCCCAGGACAACCTTCTCTGGGTACACCCAGAGCTCAGCTCCACATCCTCAGGCTGGAAGGGTATCACCCCATAGCTTCCTTACAGGACATGTAGAGCTCCACTGTGGCCAAGGCAGCTAGTTCTCCTGGAGGCCCTTTGGAGTCCCAGGATTCAGGGAAGACCCTTCACTGACAGGTCTTGGGCCCAGAGGTTACAAAAGGCTCTAATGGCTCTTTCTGGAGCAGGACTCATTGCAAGGCCCATGCCATATTAGGAATGTGTCTGTGTGAGAGCATGCCATGCTCTCGAGTGTAGCTGACAGAGACCATATGGGACTTACCACTGCTCCCAGGAGTGAGATCTCCTGGAGCTCAGTCACTAGAGGCCTGGGGCTTTTGGAGCTGACAGCCCAAGATTTGAATGTCCTCCCATGAGTGATTTCTCCAGTAACTGGGTCTGGCATCTGCAGCTCATGGGTTTGTTCCACAGGGAATCCAAACTTCAATCTGACAAGGGCAAGGTGACTCTGTCAGGTCCCATTCCCATGAGCCTTTCCTATGGTGCAGTAATGACACTCAGGTATCCGCCAGGGAGACAGCACTGGGACCCAAGACCCTAGAGATACAATACTGTGTTAACTCACCCTCCCAGAGACTGTCTTTATGCCACATAACTGTGAATCCATGTAACACACAAACCTCAGCTATTAGGAAGGCTCCAACTCTGGTACTTCAGCACTAGCTTCCCTCCCAGGGCTGAAAGAGGAACTCCACAAGCTGGGAATAAGTAGCAGACTCTTGTCCTGGATCTAGGATGCAGCTGCTGCAGGGAGCTCCTGTGCTGAGCTCATGCAATTCCCTGGCTAAGTGCCCTCAGCTGCCCCACCTTGGCTGTGTTCACGTAGGTCAGGAGCCGGGACTCCTGGGGCCCATCCTTGCTCCACAGCTCTCTGGCCTCTTGGATGCTCAGCCCTCGGGGACAGAGAGACATGGGTCCAACTTGTCATTCCAGTTTTGGTGCCTGTTTCCTTCCATTCCCATTGGTGGCAGTGCAGTGATCGAGTCCTTTGCTGCATCTGTGGCCCAATGAAAGAGCAGGGCTCCTTCCAGGGGTGGAGTATCCAGGGGGGTCCATCACAGGAATCATGTGACCCCTACAGTCTTTAGGCTCTGGGATTGGTTCCCTATAAAGATGGGGCCAAATGCTGAACCCTGCCCCTCCCACCGGGATCAGGCTCTGGCCCTCGGTACCAACTTGCACCACCCCCAGTCTGATGTCCCTACCCTGTGGCCCAAGCTACTGACCCCTCCCTTCACTTTGGCTCCTTTCCCTCCATGTCTCCCAGCAGCTCCTCTCCTGCGCCCTGCCCAGCTGGCAGACCCAAGGGGGGGTCATTTCTCCAGGGTGGGGGGACAGAGCTGGGCTCTGGGGTAAGAGACCTGATTTCATTAGCACTTTTCCTCACATTCGCTCCTAAAGCAGAGGGAAGAGATGAACTCATCATCTAGCTGGGGTCAGTCTCAGATGAGGGGGGCTCATGTCTATAACGTCCCAATGCACCGCTGGGATTGCTTGCTGCTCCAGGGCAGCAGCAGCTGGTACAGCCAGTAGATCTCATCCCTGGCCTGCTGGCTGATATCCTTTGCTGGGTCCATGATGTAGAGACCCAGCTATGCCCTGAGGCGCCACATCCAGGGGAACTCGGATCGTTCTAGTGGAAGGAAGAGGAGAGGGGAATCCATGAGCATTTCACCTTCAGCTCCCAGTCTCTTCTAGGCCAGGAGTCTCTCTCCTCTCATGCCCTGTGCAGGGGCACATAGGAGAGGAGCTAGAGCCCTAATTCCCTCTGCCTTCAAAGGGAACCTGGAGCACAGGGCAGGGCTCTGCATGAGGACTCATTCCCCCAGCTGCTCCAGGATGACAAGAAGAGCCCAAGGCCAGGCACAAGCAGGCTGGAGCAGCTGTGGAGCACAGTCCTCTAAAGACCCAGGGGGCACCGCTTAGCCAGGAGAAGAGGAGCTTGCCTCAAGTGTATCTGATTCCCATCCCTGACTGCATCCCCACAGGGCCCAGCCCAGCCTACAGCCCCTGCAGCTGCAGATCCCATAGCCTGTTGGAGCCAGCACTGCCTATGCCTAGGGTCAGGGGTCAAAGGCCACTTATGTCAAATCCTGGGAGTAGGTTGGTGTATCGGAGGAGGGCGGTGCTGGTCCTCATGGCCGTGACACTGCTGGGTATCTCTGTACCATACGCAGAAGCCAATGTGCTGTGTGGGAAGGAGGCAGGTCATGGTCAAAAGATAGGCACACATTCTGTACAAATGAGTCTTCATGGGGCTGAGATTGTGTTTGGGCGGGACTCACTGATCTTAGAGCTTTAGAAGGAGTTTGCAGCACCCAGGACACTGCCTGTGTCCTGCTGGTCACAGTTCATCATTGTCTGTAGACTTGAATAATGTTCGCTCTCGGGACTTGTGCCACCCTCTATGGTCCCCTGACTTGAGAACAGCTTGTCAGGAAAGAGAAAGACCCCTGACCCCCTCCCAGCTCTGAAGTGCTTGGAGGGATGGAGGTAGTGACAGAATGGACAATCCTCCCAGAGTCTCTGTGTCCATGGGAGAGAAGGTCTGATTCCCCAAGGACCTAGGGAGGAGCCAATGACTCTCCTCTCAGGACCATCCCCTGGATCTCACAGGGGTTTGAGGCTCTCACACCCCAACTCAGTCTGGTATGCTGTGAATGGCTATACCACATCAGTGTTGTGGGACATGGCCAGCAGGCTCCTCAGCATTATATTCAGATTCTCTGCCATGGTCTTGTGCAGAGCCTGCAAAGGAGAGGGAGAGCTGTGGGTCAGCATCATGGAACCCAGGGTACACCTGTCACAGGATGGGAGGTTCTTTTGGGAACCTTGGTGAGACCCCACACTCAGCCTGGCTGTCCCATTACGATCCCTCTCTGTGCAGTTAGCAAGAGTTCATGGCAGGATGACAGCTGGCCCCTCAATCCTTGCTCCTAGTGATTCAATGGCTCCAAAGCACAGAACGTGGAAGAAAGGGATTCCCCTCCCTGCCCCTCTGTTAACCCCCCGGCCTCTTCACATCTCTGTCCACCCACCCCACCTACCCTCTTATCTCAGCAGCTCCAGCAAACTGAGAGAGCAAGGCCCAGAGGCCACTCTGATCCTGGTATGGAGGAGTAGGATGAGGATCTACTGGGATGTGAGGGTCCTTGTCCAGTGAACACACTATGTGTGGTGGCCTGCAGGAGGCACAATTCTAGCTTTGGATGTATTTTTGCTTTCAGCAGACAGGAGCCAGTATTAGGGTTTCCAGTGCAGGGCTGAGAATGGCACTAAAAGGGGCATGAAACTGTGAGGAAGTAGGCCCCGAGTGGCCAGACTGGAAACTGAGGCACCAAGCAGGGGAGTGACATGGCCAGGGTCAGCAGTCAGTCAGTGGCAGGGCTGTATTAGAGCCTTTTCCCCATTCTCCCCCCAACCCACTGGGCCCTGCTGCCTCTCATGTGTGACCTCTATAGTGATCCTCTCCCCAGGGCCATCACAGCATCACTGTAGTGAAATCCCCAACCCAGCCAGGAGAGAGGCACCATCCCCCACTCTGCCAAAAAAGAGAACGGCCATAGCTGGGAGGTGACTTCGGGGATGGGGGTGCACAGGGACTCCCGGCTCTGGGCCTGAGCAGCACAGGGCTGGGGGAGCCAAGAGGGAGGCCTGGGTACCTGGGAGCTGGAGAGGATGGAGCTGAGCGCAGAGTCCAAGGGCAGCTCCTCAGTCAGCTCCTGGGAGACCCAAAGGAGACAAAGCAGCATGTGAGATTCAGGTCCCACTGACCCCAGGGCACTTCCCAGAAGTGAGGCTGCCCAGCATCCAGCGACAGACAACAGGATCCAGTCCTGCTGGGCCCTGTCCTCCCAATTTCCTTCTTCTCCTCAAACTTGCCACGCATCCTTCCGAGCCACCCCATGTCTCCCTACCCACAGCCTCAGCTGCCCTCCAGTCCCACTATTCCCCACCTGCCCCCTATTCATTATGCCAGAATTTCCCCTTCTCTGCTGCCCAGTCCTCAGCCCTGGAATCCCTGCTTTCTGCTGTCCCCTCCAGTTCCCCAGCCTACAGAGTCCTCTCCTCATCCCATGTCTCCTGTTCTCTCCCCACATGCTCAGAGCTGTGTTTCACTCACTGCAATCCTCTCCACCAGGGCTGCTTTGGAGCAGGGTGGCTCCAGAGTGTCCTGCCCGCTCTTCTGTGCGGTGAAATACATGGGGGAGATGGCATGCAGGAACTGGATCTGCTCAGCCACATCCTGAACCCAGCTGGGCGGGAGAGGAACAGAGAGCCTGTTAGCCAGAGACACCCCCACATGCCATCTAAACTGGCTCTAGGGCTTATGCCCTCCATGGAGAAGGCTAGGAAGAGCCCCCTCTCACCTTTGCCGTAACCAGTGTCTCGTCCGGCACAGACAATGTCAAGAACTGGGATAAGGCCTGTGCGTGGAGGGTTGGACAACTGCCCATTCTGGGGATCCCACATCTTAGTTGATAAGTGTCCCTATTAGGGACTGTGGATCATCCCAGACAAACCACCCTGCAGGGATCTAGGATGGAATGAGGGGCAGGACTCAGTTCCTACTTAGCTAGGCAATGTTTGTACCTTGCCTCCACCCTGGAGATGCTCCATGACAACCTTCCAGGCAGCGTCCTCCGTGATCAGATCTGTCTCCTCCTCCTCCTGCAACTGGTCACTGGGAGTCACTGCATCGGGGAGAGAAGGGGAGAGGGTGATGCCTGCTGCTGCTGGGGGAGAAAGGGGAAGGATAGAGGCACTGCAGAGAGAAAGAAGGGTTAAAATGTTCCCCCCTCCCACATAAAGGCCCCATGGCAGAAACAGCCCCACACTGTCCCTCCAACAGAGCCTCTCAGCCCCAGGCTTCCATGGCAGAGAGGGCTCAGCCTTCCTTGTAGATGCCCACCCCCAGAGCATCAGGGACCCACTTCCCAGCAGCTCCCCTCCATACCTGCTGCATGGGGTAGCTATGCGACTCCTGCTGGCCTCCTTGGGCTCACGTGGCTCACATCAGACCTCTGGGCTGGGATCCCCCCAGGAATTCAAACACTGCCATGGAGCACATGTGAACAGCCCTTTACTCCTCCCCATGCCCAGGGATCTCCTCACCTGCAGCAGAGGAGCACTCAGCCTCCAAACTCCAGGGAGCTGCTGCTATACCCTTGGGAGCAAGCGGAGCTGCTGGTGCCACTGCTGGGGCAGGGATTCCCCCATCTCCTGCCCTGGGGAGGTCCCCAGGGAGTGGGCAGAGTGAGGTTGGCCCACAGGGCTGGGTTTCTGGGGCTGTCTTTCCAGCAAGAGAAGCCTCAGAGATGCATTACCCAGCTCCCATCATGCACTGGTTCCTGCTTGCCCAGACGCAACTTGGGCCACCTCCATCTCAGCCTGGATGCCGCCTCTCCCCCCTCAGCACTTGCTCTGGGAGCTGGTCTCCTTCTGGTGAGGAAGATCGGGTATGTCCATCTCCTGGACTGGCTGGGAGCTGCTTCCCCCCAAGTAGGGACCGAGGGACCACTGTCTGACTGTGGCCACTGACAGCTGCCTCACTCTGGCTCCAGGGCCACCTGCGGAACTTCCTCCTTAGAATCCTTCTTAGTATGTCCATCTTAGAACTGAGCAGGGAGCAAACATGAGTTGCAATGCATCCTTTCACCAATGGACTTCTCTGCCCTGCAACTGGGCAACTTCCCTTCTCCCCACGCCCACCAAGTGGCCCCTGGACTGGGATCTGCACAGACTGGCAGGAGCTCATAGGACAGGCTGCTCCCAAAGCTCCACTGCCATCCCTGGCACTGGGACAGCAGGGGAGTCTCACCCATTCAGAGCAGTGGAGTCAGGGACTGAGACCTGCAGTTAGCTTGGACAAACAGCTCCCTCCTGCAGCCCTAGACCATGCTCCCTCCCCTGCCTGAGAAGGAAGAGAACCCAGGAGTCCAGACTTCCCCTGGGAAACGTCCCTGGCTCAGATTCAGAAGTGGAGTCATGGGGAGTGGAGTGCTTGGGTTCCCATTAATTTCAATGGGGGTTGCGGGTTATCACCCCTCCCAGGGTCTGCCCCCCACCCCGAAACTCCCAGCCTGGGGAACAGTCTCCTACATGGGCCCAACCCCCTCAGCTCTCCCCAGCCCCTGCCTAGGCAGAATGGGAGTTGGGTAACAGGTCTCTATGGGGTGGTACTGTACTGTACTCATTGTCTGGCTTAAAACTCACAGGCAAAAAACAACAAACATGGGGATTCTTACAAGGTCTTCACCCTGGAAGAGATGGTCTTGAGGCTCCCTGCTCTAAAGTTCAATGGACAATTCGGGTAGCTCTCGGTAGCCTGACCATGAATCGCTCCTCAGCCCCCAGGTTGCTGGTCTTTGCTGGGCTGACACATGTGGCCCAGTAGCCACCAGTAGGGTTCAAAGTCTCCTTTTGTATAAGAGTGTGAAGGCCAATGGTGACCTCCCAGGCTGTGATGCTTCGCTCTCTGCTCCACTCCATCAACAGCCAACAACCAAATGTAAGACAACCCCTTTGTCTCTGAGTCCTGGCTTCTGATTGGCTTTGGTGATAGTTTCCAGCATGTTCTATCTCCCCCTCCTGCATTCCAGGCCTTCTGGGAGCAGGATCCTGAGCTCTGCAGCCATCACTGCTGTAGCCCAGGGGCAAGTGCCCTCCAGGCTTAGTGCAATATGTCAGGAACCACCAGCTCCAGAGGGGTTACTTGTAGGATGAGTTATCTGTTACCCAGGGAGAAACTCCAATCCAAGGTGCAGATTCTTACCCCCATTGGAAGGTGTAGGGAGAGAAAGGCAATGTCTCTGAAGCTGCAGCTGCATGCGATGGCTTTGCAGCCTACTCTCCCAGAACCTTCGAGCCTCCCATCTCAGTTCTGCATCATTCAAAGAGCAGAAGAACACCTGTAGGCCACCAAATCCTCCCCTCAGCTCCTGAGGATTTCCTGAGAGGAATTAATGTTGCTCCAAACAGAGCTGCCAAGTGATGTTCAGCTTCTTGCCCCACTACAGAAAATGATCAGCCATTTTGGTCCACCATGTTAGGTTTTCTAATTTTAAACTCTCATTAATTTTTATTTATTTAAAACCTTAAACTTAGAACTAATTACTGTTTTATGCTAGTCAAAGTGTCCTGATACTATCACCACCTTAATTATGTCAATTGGGAGAAGTAAAATTTTATGGTGTTTTTAAACGCCTCTGAGGTTTTTCTGTAAGCCTCTGTTAAGAAGCTGCAAGGTATCTCAGAACATTCAAAGCAAAATCTCTCATTACAGTATGTGGCTCCTGCCCAGTCCACAGAACCTGCTGTGCTTCCCCATGAGGGGACAGCATTAAAAAGGCAACTCTGCAAGGTGATACTACTGCCTCTAGTTCCTTGGCTACATACATTGTATCCCACTCTGACAAGCAGTACACAGAGAGGGTCAGAGCCTCCTGTGACACATGCCAATTTCCTGAAGTATTGAGGACAAACCTTATTTCATTACCTTTCAGTATTTTAGGAACCCATTGTATTAAAAATGCAGATGTTTAGTATCATTGGGAGATTGTAGCCAACGTCTGTAAGAGAAAGCCAGGATTAGTGCAATATCTGGGCAGTATTGTGAACTTGAAAAGACTCTGTGGAACAATGTGGCAGACAAGGATGATCTTTTGGGACCGTATGTGTGAAACAGAATTCCTAGGAAGTATAGGGAGGAGGGGATTCAAACTTCAAGCTTTGCCTTGAGGGGGGAACATTTTGTCTGCTGGCCTGAGTTGACCCATTCCTTGGCAGAAAGGCCTGCTCTTGTTTTCACAGACGTTGTCATTTATGCAGTGTCTGCACCCTGCCGTCCTGGTCAGGCAGTTTAACCCCCACCTAGGGACTAAGCCTTTCAAACTTCGTCCTGAGGAGGAACATTTTGTCTGCTGATCCCCTGTTAGAAGAGGACAGTTTAAAGACCCAAACTGGAGTCACCAGGGACCAATGGACAAAGAAAGGACTTTGGAATCAGTAGGCTGATGTCCAATAAGCAGACAGCCTCGGGTTCACACAGGGCCCCAGTCCTTAGGGAAGGGTTGCAAGGACTGACACCAACCAGACCCCTTGTAGAGATGGGGGGTGGGGTGAGGACTCAGATATGCGGCAAACATATCTGGAAAGCTTATTACCAGGCATGTAAGTTCTTTTATTATTTTTAATATGTTTTCTCTAATGCTTTCCCATTCAGAATGAACTAGGCTTGCTTAGGAAGAGCTGCTTGGTAACTTAGAACTGTGCAGAGTTACACTGTTCCTAGTCTCTGCAGAGAAAGCAAGCAGGCCCGTTTCGGCTGGGAACACCACAGTGAAGGCACGGAACTGTTCAGCCTAGCAGTACCCCAGTCAGGAGGGACCAAGACGAGGGTCTCACCCAAGAAAGGCAATGACTAGGAAGCCAGAAACTGAAAGTAGATGCCCTGGCTGGACCTCTAAGGGGAAATCCAGGGGCAGCTGCTCTGAACTGTGACACCCACTACAGCTGCCACAGAAGGAAACTGGTTGGTTGAGCTCAAATGTAGAACCACTTAGGATTGATTCTGAGACTTAAGTTCCTACAGTGAGCGATTATGTTTCTAGATCCATCCTGAAATTGGAGCAGGATATTTTCAAGTTTAGTTTGACAGTCAAGAGACATTTTATAGACGTCATCACACCAGAGAAAGCCTCCTGATTAATTCATATTTATTTCTAATGATCTAGCTGCCAAACTGCTTTTTCTCAGCACTGCTCCCAGCCACCTGAGAGAGTTTCGCATCTTCTCTCTTCTGGCTGGGATCCCTTGACTGCAGCAGCACCCCCTAGCTTTCCTCGTTCCTTACATCCTTCACTTCTTTGGGTGGAGCTGTGTTTGCCATTGGTTTGCTGTACCTGAGTCCTCTCTCTATGTGCCCTGGCCCCAGCAGCTACTTACCCAGGCTACACTCCTATTGCTGTCCGTGGAGGGTATCCTGGGCTGTCAGAGCTGCAGGTTTTGGCCCAGGGTCAATGCAGGCACTACAGCTGCCGCACACCTATGCGGTGACTCTTGAATCCCCTCAACAAATTGCTGGACCATATTCTGCAGGGTGGCCTCACTAGCTGAGAATCTGGGAGCAGGGAAACACTGTGTTGAGGCCATTTTCCTTCTCTAACCCAAACTCTGTAAATGGCTCCCAGAGACATTCCAATGACACCCCAGTGCAGCCCTGGGGTTCTCTCACAGGCTTTTTCCTACCCTTTCATTGTCACCGCGGGCAACAGTCTGGCAGTGGGATTGGAGAGGGGGGTGTCTGCAGGCGGAGCCTTGCATGGTTTCCTGAATGGGAGCCTGACTGGGCTTGTGCTGTTAGTGGTGAAAGGCCAGGATTCAATCCCCACCCGTGCCCATGGTGTCTCTGCGTGGCCACGGGTTCCCTTACCCATCACTGCAGGCTGTTTAGGAGGTGGAGAAAAAATTGACCACAGAGGAGACAGGGGCTCTGGGCCTGAGCAGCACTGGGCTGGAGGAGCCGGATGGGAGACTCCGGTACCAGATGTTGCACATGGTGAGCCTAGAGCAGGAGAGGACAGAGCTGGGTGCAGAGACCAGAGGCAGCTTCTCAATCAGCTCCGGTGAGACCCAAAGGAGGGAAAGGAGCAGATGAGATTCAGGCCCCACT